CCATTTTGACGCTTTGTGTTTTGTGCTTCGCATGTGTGACTCCACTGCCTTAATTCCCATCGTTCTGAGCTTGAATGACATTGGCGGTCTGAGCAGTTGTACAACGGTGCTCTGTCACCCATTCAACGCCCCATTCAATGGCAGCCTCCAGCCCGGTCGCCTCTTCGCGGTTTTCTGCTACTGTTCGCAGCTGGAAGTAGATATTAACGTTGCTCACGTACGTAATCCAAACTGCAGGCCCCAGAATAATCAAAAAACAAACATATTTTGCTGGCAGCTTTTTTACATTTTAAGGTAATTTAGGCGTTAATAAACTGTTTCAGAGGAGCAATCATAGCGCTCTGCATCAGCAGTGCTGTGTCTGACTCCCTGGCAGCTCCCAGATCAGCTTCTCTGCTTGGTTAATGTGACGCGTCGAGCAAAAGTTCAATTTTTCCAACTCTAGGAGCTGCTGGTTCTGAAGCGAGTTGTGTGCATCAGATGCTCAGAAGTGCATGAGACGCTGCAGGACCTTTTACTGCGCCTTGATGCGTGTCAACCATTGACTTTGCATGTAAACTAGCTGCTTCTGCTGCCACTGCTGCTTGCGGTGTGAACGACGCATCAGACAACAATGACTGTTCATAAGTCACTTCGAACAGATTGCTTCAGGGGTTCAGACAAGGGAAACGGTCGGTTCAGTTTTTTTTTCCACATCTTATTTTGCATCCAGTTTGTATTTTACAGACAATCAGATTCACAATTTCAGGGAACAGTATTAAACGAACTGGTACTGACTCTAACCCATTATTTCTCTCTAAAAGTTTATTGTTACTGATTACTTGAGTTTTGTTAACATTACTCTTTTCAAGAAATTTAACACAACAAGTTTTCTATTATTTGAAGTGTGTTGCTCTGAGAAAAACAAAGTAAAGATTGTTTGTGCATTTAGTTTAAAGCAAAAAAAACTGAAAAACTCCAAACTATACAACTTGTTTAATTGCGATCCAAGATTTCATTTACAAGAAACAAGTAAA